ATAAAAAAAAAAAAAAAAAAAAGCTCGATAAAATTTTTAAACAACAAGATCAAACGAGATTCGCGAACGCGCGTCGTATATTCACGTGATGGGAAAGTTATTCCAAAGTCACTAAACTACTTTTCAATTCAGTAGTTTTAGAAGAAAAAAAGTAATAATTTTTCCGACCAATGCCGTGTTTTGTATGGCTTTGATATTATTAAAAATTTTTTTTTGACCTGAACAGATCAGTCAACTTAACGCGTTTTCGTAAGCATATAAATTTACATTAAAACTCATTGACTCGGCTGTTAATTACTTTAACTATCAATCCTGTGTACAGATAAGGTGAAAATAGCATTATTTTTCAAAGGAAGATGACATACGCTCGTGACTATTGTACATCTAATTTTTTTTTTTCTCTCCTTCCTTTTCTCCTTTTCTCCTGTAATAACACGTTCGAGTGCATAGGATGTAAAGGTTTTTATCACCTTTTGTGGTCTACACAAGTATACACGAGCACGCATAAAACGCCTTAATCGTCAGCTCGCGGCTATAATTGCCCGCGTGTCCCCGAGAGAAATCGGTAATGTTGCTGCCGTATTCCCCCTTCCACTCGAATAATTTCACCGCGGTGCTTTACCACGACGTCGAGTCGGCTGTGTGTTTTCTGAAACTCGCGCTTCACGAATCAAAGGCCGATTTTTCCGACCGATCGTTTTCAATGACGATGATCGAGAGAAAGAGAGAGAGAGAGGCGAACGGTACGGAATCAGGACGGAGATCGGCCCGAGATGAGTTATTGTAACATCTAAAGTTCACGCGGGTTATCGCTCACACACACCTACATGTATATGTTTCACATGTTGTGTTGTTGGTGCGTTTGTTGCTTTGTTGCGATAAAAGATCGTTACGAGTTTCTTCGTACACACAATACCTCGTGATGAATATGGTGCAGTGAATGATGAATGATTACATCGTTTTTTTTTTTTTTTTTTTTTCTGTTAGATTAATGCAAAAATAAACAAAGTTAAGGAGACGAAAAAAAAAAAATAAAAAAAAAAGATCGGTTATTCCATTTCGAACAGTGTGTCATTGTCGGTATGTTTGAGCAGCGATAAAAGACAGTTGTTTCAAAAGAAAGATAAATTTACGTTGTGAGCTTTTTTTTTCATTATAACTATTATGATGAAAGTCAGGTGTTTCACTGTTATTCTGAAACACCTCGTGATCATGGCTTTGGGAGCGCTTCGTTTTGTTGATTTGATTCAACTGCCGCGCCTTGAAACAAGACAAACGGAAAATTTATACTTATCGATTCCTAAAACGAGTGTATACGTTTTTGCGCTCGCCACCTACTTACATTGTTACATTGGTATCGGTAAGTGCGTCGGAGTTACTACTCGCGATCGTTATTTGATGAATTGCACGAATTTCGACAAGATATGGGAAAAACGAGTATGAAACAACAAGCTCGTGTATTATCATTGTAAGATGTAATAAAAATAAGGGAGAGGTTGCAGAGTGTGATTTTGATCGGCCGATTTTTTTACCGGTACTAGGATGAAAATTCACAGATTTTTGGAAGAACAAGAATATTTTTTTTTTTTTTTATACCAAATAATCGTGAATTAACATGTCGGTGGTAAGAAAAATGATTGGTGCGAAAATAATGAGTTTAAAAGATTCTGACATACTTTTTGTTTGTTTTCTGATCTGTAAAACAACTGAATTGGCAAATCATGTTATAATAACGAAAATTGCCGTATAATGTCTTTTCGATCGAAGGTTGCATACCTCAGATTAGATAACAAATTCACAATGCGACCAATGTGCGTAAGAGTTTTGGAAGTATGAACTAAGTTTTGGGCTTTTACTTCATAAAAAAATCGTTTTCAAATGTAGGCGATTTTCAATGTTAACTGTACTAACTTACGTCGAATGCTTTATAAGAAATATTCATTTTTAAAAACTTTTATTCACGGTGTTTCTGTTTTTGCATTTTTTTGTTACTTGATTCATAAACATGTATACTTAGATAAATTTAAGTCGATATTAACGAAAAGCAATAGAGTCAAAAGATTTTTTTATAAGCGCGATAATGAAACCTACGATTGAAATTGTGAATCTAAAAAGGGTGTATTTTTATTTATTGTTTATCATTACATTTCTGATTAAATGTTCCTCGTATTTTTATCTGCTAAAATTCTACGATGGTTTAATGATCGTATGGATCACGTCCAAAAGAGATTTCGATGCGTCAGGACACGATTATCTGAGTAACAGCTATCTAGTCATCTAGTCGAGTCATATCCAAAATAATTCGAACAACCAATTAATTAAAATCATTAAAAAATTTGATCGCGTATATTTCGACAATTCTCTGAAATACCAGAAGATTATCTGTTCATTATCATATCAATTGTCTCGTCAGTATCGGTAAATTAGTAAGTTTTATTCACACTTTAAAAGCGCGTTTAAGAGCACCGAAAAAATCGCAACAATTACGTCATATAATCATTTTTGGATTACACGACGTGCCTGACATACTTTTTTTATCTATGTGTAATTTTATCCAAAATTTTTGCAGCAACATTTTGCTTAATTTCAGTCAGTTGTTTAATAGTACTTACGGTGTGTCTAACTCTATACTTTAAAAAAATTATTAACAAACAATAAATATCGCTGATAAATTATTTATCTACTTTTTCGGTGTGTATTTCTACGATCAAGTCTTTTTGAAAAAATTGGAACAATGACTAGAGCTCCATCAGCTTATGTAAAAATTGTGAAGTTTATTTAATATTTTAAATTGTACACGATTAAATTATCGATTATAACATACTACGCAGATTAATATTGATGTTTACGCTTCTGCCAAGTGGATTGTATGTTTGAAAAATAAATGTTGCAGGTACAACTGATAAGGCTTCTTGGTAGGTATATAATTTTTGTTAACAAGGAAAGTACCTACTATGAATTTTTTGTTAGTCAAACACGTGCACTTACGTGTAAAAGAAACGTATTGTTTACTTTGTACATCATTTTGAAATTCAGCGGGAAAACCTTGTAGTTGCGATTACTCTCATGTGTCTCAAGGTGGTTGTATGATGTTATGTAGCCTTATTCCAATAATAAATGTGGCATTTACTTAAACAATTCCATTTTTTCACACCGAATTTTTCATGTCGCTTGATAAAAAAAAAAAAAAATTCTTTGGATTAATTAATTTTTTTTTTAATAAAAAAAAAAAAAAAAACACTTAACAGAAGGGAGATAACCAGCTTTAGATTAAGAAGATTAGTGTCACTAAATAACAAATTTGTTTCGCAAACTGAAGTGCTCGATCAAATAGCCACAAGCAACGTCGACGCGCAAACAACACACGGGCAAAATATTTTGCTCATCTCGAACGATTGCAAATCTCTCTGTTGTGTACAAATGTAACGTGACACAAGTACATCGAACGATCTGCTATCCAAAAGTACATCTAAATAAGACAAACACGTCAGATAATGAACACGACAAATCCATACCTCCGTCAATGTATGGCAGTTTATAAATGAAACGAGCGTGATCGTTAACAAAGCGTTTGCGGGACGGAAGTAAGAAAATCCCAAAATTGGTGCGCCACCGATACCTATACCTCGTGAGTAAGGCAGTTCCTTACACGGACTATGTGCGCAATTCCTGTATCCGTGTACATATACACAATGAAAGCGCGCCGACTCGCATAGATCTATACCTCCCTGTACCTATTCGTATATGTGCTGTTTTTCAGGTACACAAGGAACTTGGTAGACGAGGGTAACGGCAGATTCAACTTGATAGTGCTGTGCTGGGGCGAGGGTCACGGCTCGGCCATTCATGACCACGCGGACGCCCATTGTGTCATGAAAATCCTCCAAGGCGAGCTCTGCGAGGTAAATGCCGATTGGACTTTGCAAGGCAATCGGTACATTTCATTTAATACAATACATACGTGTAAAATCACCAAGATATATGTATATTATGAAGAATAAAAATGTTTTTTCTGTACGGTTAAGCTGCAAAAACGGCAAGTTTTTTTCTATTGGGCGAGTAATTTTGTAATTTATTCCGCAGAATATACAAAAAAGTGCATCTGTAGTGAATAATTTTTTTTTTTTTTTTTTTTTTATAATATTGACAATGATTTTGTTTGATGAAAATAATCAGGAATACTTTCATTTCGTGCGACGAAATTAACATCGTATAAGTAAAAATACTTGAAAGTGTCATGTTAAATTAAGCGATAAGCCAATCGTGAATGATAGATAGTACTTCGCGTGCAACTCTGACGTAAACACGCGCACGCTTTACTTCGAGTACTTGCGTTATTTCTGAATTCACACGATACTGCTCGTGTCAACAACAGAACAATAAATTTTTTACTCGCACATATTGATACTTTACACATCCACAACTTGTACACAATCATCGATAGCCAAAGATCAACTTTTCACCTGATAAACTTCGGTACGATATCGATCAGCTTTCACCTTACCGGGATATTCTACAATAACAATATTATCGCGCGAATCGATTGGAATAAATATTTCCTACGGCCAACATTATTTTTGTTTTACACTGCGTGAACAAATTTTATTTTGACGTTGATTGTTCGTAGACTAAATATCAATGGCCAAAAAAGTATGTGGACGATCAAGGCAACGAGTGCACGGAAGAGCTCAAAGAGATCGACAGACGCATTTATAGTTTGAACGAAGTCACCTACATAAACGGTAAGCGTCCAAGTAGTGCCATAAAAATGGTTTACCATAAAGTGTCTTTAAAGCGGAAAATGGGTAAAAAAAAATACATATGTATATATTTTTTCCTAGTTTTCATTTATTATTCACTAAATTAATGTTAATCTTGTAATGTCCTTCCTAATTGTTTGTTGCGCAAATAAAACATCGAGTAAGAGTTTATTTTTATTTTCATTCAATTAGATTCCATTGGGCTGCATCGCGTGGAAAATTTGAGTACCGTCAATACAGCGGTGTCCCTTCACCTGTACTCGCCACCTTTTTCAATGTGTTCAGTCTTCAACAAACAAACCGGCCAAAGATCCAAGAGCCAAGTTACCTTTTGGTCGAAATACGGAGAACGCCGTAATAGGGTAAGGCAACGTGGCTTTGTGTTTATTTTACGTACATTTTTTTTTTTTTTTTTTTTTTCGACATGTATAAATTAATTGTACGAATTAAAATTTATTTTACACAGGAGATTCAAGACGCCAGGGATCCCGAAGACAATTAAAAAGCTCCAGACTTATTGTTGTTTATTCTTTTTTTTTTATTCATTCAACGCTAAAACATTCGATTTGAGTTTCTGTTCAACACAGCAAATTGTAAGCAAACAACTTTTGTTCGCATTGAAGGAAAGAAAAAGAAACACTTTGTACGAATAACGATTCAATGAGCGTTAAAAAATCACAAGAAATATTTTATTATTTAAATAATTTTGTCTTTACAACAGCATCTATGAGTCAGTGTTTTTGTATGAAATCGACTTCCTCAATGAATTGTATAAGTAGCTCTTGCTTGAACATGTTTTTAGTTACAGATTGAATTTACGAATCGTTAAATTTCCATCTGGCGAAATATTCCCCTTTTATGGACAAAAAAAAACTAAACGTAAGATAAACGAAAAAAAAAAAATTATTACACAATATGTACAATACTAGAGTTTTTTTTCTAAATTTTAATTTGAAAAACCCCAACTAATTTTAGTTTTGACGTAAATTAAAAAAGAAAAAATTGTGTAGATAAGTATTTTTTTGTTTGTTGGTTTTCAAATAAATTTAAGTATACTTTGTTTCTATTAATTTTTCCTTGTTTTTCCCCCACACCACAATGATTTGTTGAAGCAAAAAAAAAAATTACCTAGATTTACGAAAGCCCCAAAAATGACGGAACACAAAAAAACGCACAGCTCATTCCGTGAGCTGGTCGAGTATCCAATCGACGTAGTACGCCAAATCCGTGTAAACCCCGTAGGCGCCATCTCCAGAGCATTCCGTCAGACCAAAGCTGATAACGGCAATCTGGACGATCCTAGTCTCTCCGTTCGGTAACGACACGATGGTTTGCAGGGGACCACCGCTGTCGCCGGTGCAAGTACTCCCGGTACTGCCATTACCCCCAGCGCAGATCTGTTTATGCCAGAGTTTGACGAACAATCGGTTCGCAAAGGCTCTGGAGCAACGCTCGAGGGGTTGCAGAGCCAACTCGGCCCTCATTAGTTTGGGACTTAGGCTCTTTTGAGACCCCAGACTCGTTACGCCCCAACCTGTGGCTGTGACGGTGCTGCCTCTCGTGGTCGTTGCTATGCGAAAGGTCGCGTTCAAGGGCAAACAAATCGGAAGGACGCTGTGCTGATTCTCGAACTTTAACGTCGCGTTCAGTCTGAAAGCATGTATTTTTGTAGTTTCATCAAAATGAACTATCGATATCATTATATATACACCTGCCTGATGAGTGCGACGTCATTGCGCCAACTGACATCCGAGTATCCTTTGTGCGAGTGGGTGCTTTCGATACCGATGTCTTGATGCTCATTGGCACAAATTGTTATGGTGCCTTCGTCGAGGCGCTCGCAGTCTCTCATCCTGTTAAGATTGTACTCACCGACCCTTACGAACGATACCTTCATCCCTGCATTAGAGGTCACGGGATGAAATTAGACTTGGAGTATTAAATTTTGTTTATATTTATGTTTCGTTACTTACATCGATTTTTCTCACTTGAAAGTGTTTATGTTTTTTTCAGGGGGTATAAAGATTGACATTCGAATTAAAATTGGCTAAATACAGTCATTTATGTATATAAAACTCCCTACAATCTCTACTGATCATGATGCGCTTCGATTAGGTATACTTAGTTAATCATTATGAAAGTTCGGGAATACGTTGTGGGTCAAAATTTTTCAATCGTTTCGGCAATAAGGTATTTATCCGTCTCGTATAAGTACACGTATGGAAGTATGGACGCGTTTCTTTTCTGCAGTTAAAAAAAAGTATACATCAATAAGTTTTTTTGCGCAATAATACCTATACCTGACAATAATAAAATTTAACAAATCTCAACACCAACCCTTGGGCAGATCAACAAGACAGTGAGCAGCAGTGAGTACGTATCGACGGTTGATAATGGTACCGCTGCAGCGAAAAACCGGCACGACTGAGCTTCCACGCGGGCGTTCATTGTCGTCTGCAATGTAACCGATCAGAGCCATCCATGGATATTCAAACAGATGGGTTTTGCTGCCACCAAATATGAAAGGCTGATGATTACTGGAGATGCCACAGTTTTCGCGATTTACCAGAGGAAGGCGCGGATGTTTGTTGACATTGGGTGGTAGTGGGGGAAGCTTCTTCGAGGTTCTGGCCTCGTCGCTGTTCTGATGGTACTCGAAACTCCATGGGTCCGCTGTGCGGTTGAGCTTAACGATTTCGTAGGCGTTTGTCGTGACGACTGAAATATGGCGTATATATAAATAATTATCATCATTATTATTGAAGGTGCACTAGTGTTGTATAATATTGACAGTTTTTAATAAATCCAAAATACAGTGTTTGTTCTTTGGACACAGAACTCATAAAATGATTATAGAAATGGAAAAATGTGCCAAAAATGTTTGGTAATTCTTAACAACGGTAAATTTTATATTGTAATCCAATAACTTTCAGATTTTGTTCTTCATCACAATAATTATTATTTTAATTGCCAGTTTTCTATTACAAATTTCATACTCACGTTTATTACTTGGTAATGTTGTCAAGAAGAAAAAAATCATACATGGGATCTTCATTTTCACCTATTATTTAGAAGTGTTTTCCGTACGATTTTTCTACAAAAAGTTATACTGCCAGCAAATATTTTCAATGTATTTAAAAAAAAAAGGAAAGAACTTTAACAAAGTACTTCAGATATTACATAATATCACTTTTGCTAAGTCACTATTATTACTGAGCACGTACCACGAAAATAATAACAAATACGTAGTCCTTTGACGTTGATGTTTTTCGAGGAATCATTTATACATTTGTAGTTTAAATTACACACCTGTAATGCTTTATAGTAAAATTGTCTATCAAACCTGATTGTTACATTTCAAATACGACTGATTAAAAAGAGTTGTGTTTGTCCATGACGAAAAATGAAAACAAACAAAAAAATTAATAATAAATTACTGAGAATCATTTTCGTCTCAAACCATCAAGTTTATAATGATTTAATTTATTTTTTCATAAATAACTGTTAATTGTAATATTAATTTATACAGAATGTTTAATCATAAGCACTTTATGAAGTCCATCAAATTTTTTAATTTTTAGAGCAATGCGTCGCTTTACTTTTCGAGATCCCTTACTAACTGTACAAGAATAACCACAAAAGTTGTAATATAGTGGGTGATCTGAAAGTACAAAGCTTTTTTGAATGACAATAAAGAAAAAAAAATTAATTCTTAGTCATGGGTATGATTCTTACCTTCGTTAGCAATGGTAAATGTACATGAAAGCAACCAGCTCCAGTAAACATAATTTTTTGTTTTAAATGATACAGAGTTAGATAAAATGTCTAAAAAGTTTACAATCAATGGAACATTTGAGTGATTATTGCTTATCGCAAAACTTTATACAATAATGAGATTTTACTTTTTGAGTGGTGTGTTGATAAACTTGTTTCCGCCATTCGAAAAGAGAAATAACTAAATCCTGTCCCTAATAGAAAAAAGTTAATTTAAAAATTAAAGGGTAAGATACAAGGCATTAATGAACTATTAATGACAAAATGTGATAGAAATAGATTTTAGGAAAAGGCTACTAAGTATATATACGTATCTTTGGTAATTAAAAAAAAAAAAAACAAATATAAAGCCAAAGAAATATTATTTTTTCAGATGACTTAAAAGAGTCATCAACAGAAAATGTGTTTTTAGCTATTGATGTAATATTATTGTTTATTAGATAATGCCATTGATAAAAATTGAGAAGTATCACTGCATGAGTGCCCAATTGATTTAAAAAAATATTTTATTTCATGAAATTAATATTTTTTCCACAAACTGAAATAAAAGTTTTAGAAAAATAATTATTTGAGGATGTAAAATATTTTTTTCAATGAACTTGTATTTTTTAATTTGAAAAAATATTTAATCAAATAAGGGTACAGAGAATTATCTTTTTGTTTGGAAAAAATCGGGTGCTCAACGATATTAAAAATTAACATTGAAATTGGCTTTCAAAAAATAAAAGCAGAGAGTTATGGAGTTTTTGTTTTTAATCCTTTACCTTTGACGAAGCAAAGTGACACGAAATATGAATCAACATGACTTGAAACAAAAAAGCGGTTAGCCAGATAGATTCGCAGATTACGATCTTTGAATTCTCCGTGAAATCCGTAATAGTTAGCAGCATAATTAAATACGCTTCGCTAATAAGATGGCAAAAAAAATTCAAGTAAAAGACAAATAATGACCAAGAATAAAGTTCATTCAATACATTGACGGAATCTTGTAGTTGATAAAATGATGTTTCGGCTTTCTAGAAAAAAATGAAAAATTATTAGGTGTATATAAAATATTAACGTTTTTAAAAAAACGCAAATATTGATGTACAAGTCAAGGTCTAATTTTACGATGAAAATTAACTGCAAGCCGATTTTATTAGACTTATTTAAATATTATTCTATAACGACTATATAATATTGTGACTACCATACCTTTTTACAGTAAAAGGTCGTGTGTCTATAATTATTTTCATCAAATTAAAATTACCTCATTTTATTGGCATCACTTTAACGTAGGTAATCTATACAACTCTTCATTTTTTTTGCAATATTTTTAATTTTTTCGTTTTACAATTATTCATTTAACATTAAAATTTAATAAAATAAAATTAATGTGTTTAATATCATGTAAAGTTTTTTGTTGGTCAACAATTGTTCATCGTGCTTCAAGAAATACTTGATGTTTGATGTGAAAAAATGTTTGTTCGTGAGTTAGATTGTCAGAACATCAGTATATATTACCTCTGCCACGGTGATTAACCCGCGCAATTTATCTTTTGAAAGTTTCTCCTCTTGAACAAGTCGAACTTGTTCACAAATAACATCCTCGAGGTAATTGAAGCGTCGATTGAAAAGATATACCATACCACAAAACTTCAAAACGGACATGTAACTACCGACGTAGGCAATGAGATAAGACACATTTCGGAGGTACGGCTCAGCAAAAGCTTGAATTCCGGCTTGGCTGACGCACAACCAGACACTGGTCGACAGAGTAATCATCGTCCACATGACAAATTTCGTTTTCCTCAGCCCAAGTGAACAGGCCACTGGAAATCTCTCGTCAACGTTTTGAAGGGTATTCCACACGCCAACGAATTTTCTTCGGTTGAACATACTCAACGTCATGTCGATCATCGAGGTGCTGTAATTCACGAACAGCTGCGTGGGTGCGGCCGGTTACGGGACATTCGTATATAACAGTTAATCAATTTTATTTATTTCCATCCGTAAGATGAAAGATCTTTTGCTGAAAATTTATTCAATGCTTGGATATTTTTTCAATAATACTAAATTCAATTCAAAGTAACCCAAACTATTCTTACTTTATCCCAACTAGGATAATATAACAGCCTTTTATTCGTGATGCAGTTTTTTAAGGATGATCACGTGATTATCAGTTAAAAAAAATTTGTGGCGCATATACTTGTTTTTAAAAAAACATTTAAAAAAAAATTTTTTTATTTGTCATTAAATTTACAATCAGAAGGGTCTTCAAAGTAATGGTGTTGAAACTTTTCGATGAAAAAGCGTATTATCCTTGATTTAAAAACAAATATCTGAACACACGGAAAAAATATGCGCATCCAAATGAGTAAAGCCTACACGTACCTTTAAGCAAATGATAAATCTGGTGGTTCCCTTGTGTTCGATTAATCCCGCGAAACGTACAATCGTTGTTATCACGATGTAGCTGTATGTAACCATCCACATAAACGCAAACGAACAATAAAAGTTGGAAGCCTTCAACTTGGGTGGTTTGTTGTTCATGGGATAGGTGTAAGGTGCCAACCCGAAAAATCGTATTACGTAGAACGCGGGGCAAATGGTTTCGAAAAACATCGATTCCGCGCCGCGACCGGACTTGGGCTCGGTTAAAGCATTTTTTTTACCGAGAAATTTCATTTTGCATAAAACGTCACTTATACAATTTTTTTTTTTTTTTTTAAGAATGAATCTATAACCCTTGAAAAAAGTATTTCCGCGTTTTTACGGTCACGCGCTCTTTTCACGGTAAAAACGCATTTTAGTTTATTTAATAGAAAAACAAAAAAAAGTAATGAGCAAAGACATCGACAAATTCATCGTTACAAGCTTAAATATAGGTTTATTTCGAAATTAAAAAAAAAATAACGGCAATCCGTTTGAAAAATACACCGGACTCAATAAAAACAGCCATAGAAATTGCGATCGTGTAGACCATATTTGCGGGTGAGCTTTTTATTTTATCTACATCTGAAAAGCATAATGTTTATTTCCAACTATACGTGTAATTCACTCTCGGGTGACTGTACGAATCAATAATTACCCTATATTTTACAGATATCCTATTCCGTTACTGACCTGCGAATAATAATACTGCGGCGAGGATATTTAAGTCAGTATAAAGCGAAGTTTTCATATATTTACTGCAATAAAAATGCTAAAGGATATTAATAATAATTTTATGTATATACACGTATTTATTTTTTTTTTAATTATTTTTTTCCTCCGGTAGCGCAAAATGTTTTTGTGGCAATTGATATTTACAGAGCTATATAAATAAAAAAAAAATTTTGTTCAGGAAATAATTACTTTTTTGGGAATAAATTAATTTGATCTTAATAGTTGAGGTACACTCGTTTTGTGAAAGAATTACATTCTTGTTTAATATAATTTCACGCAATGATAAATGAGACAATATTCATCGCTGCATTGTAATTCTCAATGATGAACAAAGTTCGCTGGTTTTATAATTTTTTATTACTGCGTCAGAACAAATCTTTGGAACACCCAACTCAGCCTTGAGTCCGACAAAATAGATTATTAAATGGCACACAATCATAAAAACACAGGTACGAGCATCGATCTTTTGCTCTGTACCACGTTATTACTCGATATGCTATGATTATCGTGATTGACATCTCAACCAATTTTTACAAATTATGTTCAACATGAAAATCTGATGAATCGTGCGTGCAAACTCTGGCAGCACGATAAATTGCTTTATTTTCTCTCAAATGTACGCTTCAGTAAACCATCTACACGATTCGTATACATCAAAATTAATTTATTGCTACACATTATGTACATAATTACAATGAAAATTCTCGTAATAAAGTTTCTTGCAATGCGAATATGAAAAAAAAAAAAAAAAAAAAAAAAAAAAAAAAAAAAAAAAAATTCCATTTTGAAATTATAAATGCAATCGTTAATACACTCGTCCAACACGGGGCAATAACAGGCTGTCAAGTGAGCTCGAGTATCTTGATGACTCCCTGTGAATTGGCGGCAACGACGACGTTGGAGTTCTTCCTCCAGCAGACCGCGGATATGAACTCGTTCAGGTCCTCGTCGACCCTGTCCTCGGTACCCAAAATACTCCTCGGCGCCTCGAACTTGTAGAACATCAGCTGCTTCGACAGGCCCTTGTAGTACACGTAGACCGAATTGTTCTCCGAGCCGCAGGCTATGTAATCACCGTCCGTGGCCAGACCGACGAAATTCTTCTCGTTGACGTGATCGTCGAAGGAGCGCAGACAGTAGGGATCGTTGACGTTCCACATCTTGAGCTGCGAGTCCGTGCTCGCTGACACGATCTCGTGGTCGTTCAGGAATTTAAGGTAAGACACGCTCTTTTTGTGACCCTTGAAGATCCTCAAGGGCTCACTCGTGTTGCGCAGGTCGTAGTAATAGACGCAATGGTCGGCCGAGCCAAAGGCCAAGTGGCACGAACTCTGGGGATTGAACTTGACGCAACAGACGTTGGCGTGCGCCTCCAGGGACGAGATGGACACTTCGGAGGTCAGGGACCAGAGCTTGACCTTGGCGTCATCTGAACCGGAGGCCAACAGCCTTATGTCAACCTCATTGAAGTCGATGGACCAGCAACGTTTTTCGTGCTCGAGGAAGACTCGGCTCTTCTGGCCCGTCATTGCATTCCAGATGGTCACTGTACCCTCGTAATCCGAGGACGCGAGAATGGCCTTGTGGAAGGTGTTCCACGACAAGCACGAGATCTTCGAGTTAAGGGACATCTCGGCACTTGGGAAGTGGACGTTCACCGAGTCGTGAATGACGGTGTTGTAATCAAAGACCTGAATCTTCTTGGTGACACCGGCTATGGCAAAGAACTCGTTGTCCTTGTCAAACTCAATGCTGGAGACGATGTTCGAGTCGTTGAGTATGTTGGCCGAGTAGTTGAGGGTCGCCAGTGGCCGGAGGGAGTTGTAGCGCGAGAATTTGATCAGATCGACGCGGAAGACGTCCAGGTTGGCCGACGACGATTTGGTCGACGACTCAAGCTCGGGGTTGCCAAAGTGCAGCTCCTTCGCACGGGCGTCGAAGTAACACTTGGCAAAGTCGTCAAAGTGCACGTACATCCGTTTCTTGCGTTCGCCTATCAGGCTGTCGTTGTCCGGCGTCACTGCCGATGGCTCCCCGGCGTCGATCGAGTTCCCGCTGCAATCGGCAAAGAACGACGAGTCGGACTGAAGAGTCTTCAAAGTGGACTCCACGATGCTAAGGTCCTGCCTTATGAGGTCTATTTCCTTCTCAAGGTGCTTCTTTTGTTCTTCTTTTTGTTTCAGGAGGTGGCGCAAGAACTCGTACAGCAGCTTGTTGTTGGCAGTGTGCTCCTGCGCTTCGAGCAATTTTTTCCGATAAGTCAGCATCTCGAGCATCACGTTGACGTCTTGTAGGCTGAGGTTCGTGCTGTCGGACGACACGAAGGTTCGGAAGGTGTTGGTTATGTCGGCGGAAGAGTCGGCATTTTTTTTGCCGGTTATGGCCCGGTAATTGTCGTTGCTTCTGGGGTGGGGCGTGCTTTTGGCGATCAGTTCGTTTACCAGGAAATTCGGTAGAATTTCCTGGCGCGTCAGGTTTGTGTTGCACTTTGGGCATTTTTTCAACGTCTCGATGGACTTGCAGATGCACCTGTAGCAGAACGTGTGCCCGCAGCGGGTTATGTGGGCTTCTTCTATGATTTCGAAGCATATGGAGCATAGAAAATCGTTGTTGATGTCTTCAAGGGTGTTTTTGACTCCTTGCATTAGGTGGATTATTTGGTTTTGCGAACGGTTCGCTCGGTGGTGACGGGGTTCCGCGTTTGGTCTTGCCTCGTTGCCTTCCGTAGACATCTTGGTGTTTTAAGAGGCCAGTGGTGTCATCTATTTTTTTTTTTAAATGCGAGTGGTTTTAAAAAAAAATTTTTTTGAATAAAAAATTGGGAAATGAATTTTTTTAATACAAATCGCATGGTTTCATAATTTGTCATTTCAATAATATTAATAAAACAATTGCACGGAGCACAACTTTGGTTAGCGAAGCCATGCAACGTTCAACCAAATTTTAGTTGGCTTAACAATTTATTTTCCGTGTGTGCAATTTCAACATTTAAGTTAGATTATTATCAATATTTTTTATGTAACTTTTTTTAAGGAACCTTTTCGTTTATTTGATGCTATAATACAAAATTTATAGTAAAATATTTTTATCGTAAAAAATAATCA